CGTGACCTCAGGCGATCCGCCCACCTTGGCCTCCCAAAGTGCTGGAATTACAGGCGTGAGCCACCATGCCCGGCTGCAGATCGAGAGCAGTTTTTCTGGATGTTTCTAAACCTGCCTGGGGTTTTGAACTAGACTCCTGTTGTCTGGCAACCCTCTAAGCCTCTCGTTCCCTGGGGCGCCCTTGGCAGTCTTCATGCTTTTGTTTTTTCCCTTGATCCCAGCTCACGACAGTTCTTACTGCTGAGCTCTCAAGATATTTTTATTGCTAAAACTGCCTTAGGCCCTTCTAATATATCAGTGCCTCCCCAGGAGTGCCACAGCCCACGGGCACATTGGCCTCAGAGTCCCCCCGAAGATGAATGGATGTTTGCGGCGCTTAACCGCCGTGCTGAGATATTGCTCAGTTAGAAATATTCCATGACAACCCATCCTTCTGGCCTTTGTTAATGGGGCCAGAAATACCTCTAGCGGCCCTGCCATTTTGTGGGAATCTTGTTAACGCTCTGACCTCGTCGTCTGCCCTGTCTCTGGTAACATTACGAAGCTCGCAAATGTGGCCTTGGTGGCTGCCGGTCCCAGACACCTCTGCCTCCTGCGTCCTCCTCCCCTACCCCTCTAAGGCGGTGTGTGATTGAGAGCTTGCGCCTTCTCGTTCACTTTCATGGGGTTTCATCAGAGGCTGAGGGAGGGTGGGGGAACTTTCAAAGCAGTGTTTTCTCCCCTCTCTCCTTGTCTTTTCCTTTCCTTTTTTCTAATTTTATTTATTTTTTTTGAGATGGAGTCTTGCTCAGTCATCCAGGCTGTAGTACAGTGTCGTGATCTCGGCTCACTACAATCTCCGCCTCCTGGGTTCAAGCAATTCTCCTGCCTCAGCCTCCCGAGTAGCTGGGACTATAGGTGTGCCACCATGCCTGGCGTGTGTGTGTGTGTGTGTGTGTGTGTGTGTGTGTTTAGTAGAGATGGGGTTTCACCATGTTGGCCAGGCTGCTTTTGAACTCCTGATCTCAGGTGAATCTACCCGCCTCGGCCTCCCAAAATGCTGGGGCTGTAGGTGTGAGTCACTGTGCCCAGCCCTCGTGTCTTTTTCTTTGATAAAATAGTGGGGAGAAATGAGGTTATGAAGTAACAGGTAGGGTTGGAGGGCTTTTAAAAATTGATTGGGGTGAGGAACGGTGGCTCACGCTTGTAATCCCAGCACTTAGGAAAGCCGAGGTGGGCAGATCACTTGAGGTCAGGAGTTCGAGACCAGCCTAGCAAACATGGTAAAACCTTGTCTCTACTAAAAATAGAAAAATTGGCTCAGTGTTGTGGTGTGCACCTGTAGTCCCAGTTACTCAGGAGGCTGAGGTGGGAGAATTGCTTGAACCTGGGAGGCCGAGGTTGCAGTGAGCCGAGATCCCACCACTGCACCCCAGCCCGGAGGACAGAGCCAGACTCCACCTCAAAAAAAAAAAAAAAAATTGCCTGGGTACTTTGCCTCCCACTGCCTTAGAAGCCCATCCCTACATGTAACTAGGAATATTCTGAATTTTTTTTTTTTCAAATTGATGACTCTATTTGGCTTTACATAGTAAATTCTCTGTGTGTGTGTCGCTTATTTGTGCAAAAATCCAGAAAAGCTCTGATACAGATTTACTGACTTGGCAGGTGCTGCCTGGAGGTCTGGGGAGTGGTCTCTGTGCTGGTCGGCACCTTCATCTTCGGACAGAGCACAGTGGCAGCGGTCTGGGAGATGATTTGATGGGCAGTCAGCCCAGGCCAGGAAGGGGCTGGCCCGACGTGGCTGTGTGTACAGTCAGGAGACCGATGTGATTTATTTTCATCATAAAGATGCTGGAGAGACTGATGCCTTCTGCCTCCTCGTGCTGCTCATTGGTCTGTGCTGGTTCGAAGGGTTTCTGGTACCAAGGTGAGGAAAGTTCTTATGACCACTGCGATAAATGACCACAGCCGCATACCAGTGGCTTAAAACGACAGACACTTATTGCATCACAGTTCTGGGGGCCAGAAGTCTGAAATCATGTGTCATTAGGGCCATGCTCCCACTGTGGGCTCTAGGGGAGGCTCCCTCCTGTCCTTTGAATATTCCAGGGGTGGCCGGCACTCCTTGGCTTGTGGCTGCATCCCTCTAGTCTCTGCTCTTGTCTTCATATGACTGTCCCCTGTGTATTCTCTGTGTCCAAATCCCTCTCTAACGAAGATCCCCATCATTAAGTGAGCTCCTCCTACCCCCTTATTTAGTATGATTTCATCTGAGCTTGATTGCATGTCATATTAACTAATTAGTACCCAGAAAGATGCAATTTCCAAATAATGTTATGTTCATAGGCTGCAAGGGTTCAACTTCAACTGATGTTTCTAGGAGACAAAATTAAACCCATAAAAGGGAGCTAGGGGCTGAGACCCAGACACTTATGTTTTGGAGTGTCAGGACCAAGGGTGTCAGACGAGGCTACTGCACAGGGGTGGGAGCCCAGAAGGGAATGGGAAGAGGCAGGGCTGGCAGTGGTGATGGACTCAGTGGGTCTTTGGCCAGGGCACAGTAAATGCCCAAATCCTGCCCTTGACTGTGAGATGCCCAGGGAGATGCGTGCCTGGAACAGCCCACACTGCCATGCACTTGGCCCACGCCCACAGAGGGTGGATGAGCCCAAGGAAGCTGCACTTTCACTCCCACCAGTTGGACCCGAAGGGCACGGAAGCCCAGTGGACTGTCTGCTTGGCGGTTCTCCCCAGTGGCCACCCCAATTCTGGTAGCAGAGAGCGAGAGAAGACAAAAGGTCTGCTGCAGGGCCTGGGTAAAGAAGAGGAGGAGGCCGGGCATGGTGCCTCATACCTATAATCCCAGCACTTTGGGAGGCTGAGGCGGGCTGATCACTTGAGGTCAGGAATTTGAGACCAGCCTGGCCAACATGGTGAGACCCCGTCTCTACTAAAAATACAGAAATTAGCCTGGCATATTGGTAGCTACTAGGGAGGCTGAGGCAGGAGAATTGCTTGAACCCGAGAGGTGGAGGTTGCAATGAGCCAAGATTGTGCTACTGCACTCCAGCCTGGTGACAGAGCAAGACTCTGTCTCAACAACGGAGGAGAGGAGGGCAGTGCGCAGAGAGGCAGAGAGGGACCCAGCTGCTGCCTTGCGTCCTTCCTGGCACTGACCCTGCACAGTCCCCGGGACGGTCCCGTCGTTGGTTGATCGAGTTCAGGCCACGCTCCTCTGCTTTGGGACGTCCTCCTAGAAGCCAGCAGTGCCAGAGCCAGGGGAGAGTGGGACTGACATTTGAGGATCCCTCCGTCAGGGTAGGCAATAGGCCAGGCCCCTCCTGCTGTCACATGGTGTCACGTATGTGACCGTGCAAGGCTGGAGGTGACAGGTCCATGTTTTTTTCAGCTTGTCCACATCCACGAATTTTCAAAAACTGAGATACAAGGTGTATACCATAACAATTCAGCCTTTTTTTTTCTTAGTATTTTGAGAAGGTGTTTTGCTTCTGTCGCCCAGGCTGCAGTGCAATGGCATGATCTCGGCTCACCACAACCTGGGTTCAAGTGATTTTCCTGCCTCAGCCTCCTGAGTAGCTGGGATTACAGGCATGCACCACCATGCCTGGCTAATTACGTATTTTTAGTAGAGACAGAGTTTCTCCATTTTGGTCAGGCTGGTCTCGAGCTCCTGACATCAGGTGATCTGCCCACCTCGGCCTCCCAATGTGCTGGGATCACAGGTGTGAACTACCACGCCTGGCCAAAAAATTCACTTCTGTTAAGTGTAAAATGCAGTGGTTTTTAGTGCACTTACAGAGCTGTGCAGCTGCCCCACGAATTCCAATCTGTTTTGTCACCCCCCAGAAGACATTGAATGCCCGTTAGCAGTCACTCCCCCCATTTCTCCCTTCCTGGGCCCCCAGCAATCGTGCACCTGTGCTCAGTCTCTGGGTTTGCCTGTTAACGGGCAGCCCTCTGAACAGCCTCACGTGTCTGTGGGCCTTGGTGTCTGCCTCCTTTGACTTTGTGTATGTAATGCTTACAGATGTGCCCATTTTACAGGTTAGGCAACTGAGGCTTGGAAAAATCGAGGTCGCTTGTCCTGCAAGGTACAGAGATCAGATCAGAATTGATTTGAGGTTAAATTCCTTTCCTTCCTACTCTACATGCCATGGTGGGGAGGCGCCAGAGTTGGGGGGCAGACGGTAGGGCAGAGTGTGGGACTAGGTGCCTGGCCCTGGGGCTTCTGCAGCCTGGCTGCTGGTGGATGGGGGAAGTGCAGCTGCGGGTGTAGACTCTGACCCTGTGGGGGTGTTGGGAGGGTACCCGGGACTCCTTCCATCTCTGACCAACCCCAGCATGGCCTGCTACACCCTGTGTTCCAAGGCCACAGCATCTTCCCAGGCAAGGGCCTTGGGAATTGTGACACGTGCAGGCAGATGGCACCATTTCTTATTTTTATTTCTTGGCGGAGTCTCGGAGCCTCACTCTGTTGGCCAGGTTGCAGTGTAGTAGCACGATCTTGGTTCGCCGCAACCTTACTGTCCCGGGTTCAAGCGATTCTTCTGCCTCAGCTTGGGATTACAGGCATCCGCCACCGTGCCCGGCTAATTTTTGTATGTTTAGTCGAGACGGGGTTTCACCACGTTAGTGAGGCTGGTCTCAGACTCCCGACCTGAGGTGATCCATTTGCCTCGGCCTCCCAAAGTGCTGGGATTACAGGTGTGAGCCACCATGCCAGGCCTATTTTTTATTTATATTTTTTGAGAGAGGGTATCACTGTGTCACTGAGGCTCAGTGCAGCCTCCAACTCCTGGTCACAAGCTGTCCTTCCACCTGCCTCCCGAGTAGCTGGGACCACAGGTGTGCACCACCACGCCCAGCTAATTTTTGTATTTTGTTGTAGAGTCAGGGTCTTACGTTTGCCTAGGCTGGTCACGGACTCCTAGCCTCAAGTGATCCTACCATGTGGCCCTCCCAGAGTGTTGTGATTACAGGCGTGAGCCACTGCACTGAGCCTAGATTGCTGTGATGGAGAACTTATCACCCTGGAGTGAGAGGTGAGGCTGAAGTCATTGGTTTATTACTTATACCTGTCTGCTTCCTGAAAGGGTCTGTGGCCCTGGGCCGGGAAGGCTGGGGCTGTGCTAGGACCATTCGTGGAGAGTCCTGGAATATGACCATGTGGCAGGGCGAGAGTCATGCCATCAAAGAAGGCTGTGTGTGAAGCGGCTTTGGAGTTGGACTGTTGGATTTGAACACTGGCTCTGCCGTTTGCTATCTCGAAGTCTTCGGTAGTGTGTGAACCTTTTTGCAGAATCGGTTGCCCTACCAGCAAAATGGAGCAGGCTTACTCTGTACGAAGTGGGGCACTTGTGAGGAATGAAGGCGATGTGTCAGGAGTAGGTGATGGGATACCTCACACACAATGGAGACCCAAGCAACGGTAGCTTTATCCTGGAAGACCCAGGTTGTGATTGCCAAGGGGAAAAGGGAAGTATGAGGACGTGAGGACTTGTCCCAAAGCAGGAAAGCAGCTCAGGAGGCAAGTGGACTGGCACTAAATGCTAAGAGGTGATGGCGGGGCTCTTTAAGGGGTGACTGAATATCACCACTCGGGACAAAGGCTTCCATCTCCATTCTGTGACAGGTAGATGTGATCCTCACATGACTGTCTGCAAATTAACTATCATAATGCAAGGCAATTAACGCAGCCTGACGCAGTCACAGTTGCAGAAGCTGGGATGTCACCTTCCACCCAGATGTCCTTAGGGGCCAGGTGGCAGTGTGTAGGGCTTCCAGCACATGGGCTCTGGGTCTGGCAGATGACTTGACTCTGCCTGCCACTTACCGGCTGTGTACCCTCGGCAAAGCCTGTTCCCTCTCTGAGCAGACCTTGTTTTCAGGGAAGATCCCTGCCTGTGCTCTCAGCTCCTGCACCCTTCCTCTGGATGAACTCCAGCCTTCCAGTTTACACCTTTATGTTGGTTTCTAAAATGAAGCTGTGGACAGCCCCTCCCTCCCTTGCAGAATGGCTGCCAGTCTGAGCTGAGGTCCTTGCAAAGCGTGCGACACAGAGTGTGTCCTGTGGCAGCTCCTGGCCCAGGGTGACAGCTGTACTGTGTCAGTGGAGAGTCAGAAGCAACAGCCCCAGCACTCTAGCCTGGGCGACAGAGCGACAGTCTCAAAAGAAAAACACACCAAAAAATGTAGTGTAGATGCCTTGTGCTTCTGCTCTGAGTGTGGTGGGCTATAGGGAAGACCCCTTTCCCTTGGTGCAGTGGCCCAGCCCAGGGAACTGCTGACCCCAAGCGCCTCAGGAGGAGGTGCCTACCCGCAGATGCCTCCCAGGGACACTGGCAGCTTTGAACCGGGCCCAGTGAGTATGCAGCTGTACCGCCTAAATGCAGGTGAACTGGTTTTGAGAGTGATTAGAGATTCTTAAGGTGTAGGATTCAATGGCCTTTAGTACATTCACAATGCTGTGTCTCTGTCACTTCCATCTAATTCTAGAACATTGCATCCTGAGGAGAGCCCCCTACCTGAGAGCCATGCCTTACCGTTTCCCTCTCCCCGATCCCACAGAGACAGCCACCCTGTGTTTTCCGTCTGCGTGGACTTCCATGTTCTGGACGCTTCCTGTAAGTGGAATAGGACACACTGTCCTGACTGCCCGCCTTCGCTCAGCGTGGTGTTTGAGTCACCCAGGCTGCAATGTGGCTCAGCCCTTCACGCCTGTGGATGACTGAAAGAGCTGTTGGCTGGAGAGGGGGCATTTGTTGATGTATTCGTCGGCAGATGAGTATTTGGATCATTTCTACATTTTGGCTGTTGGGAATAGCGCTGTTAGTTCACGGGCTGAGTGGTTTGGATGCCTTTTTCCATTCTTGTGCGTAGAGTATGTCCCTAGGAGTGGAATTGCTGGGGTGTGATAATTCTACCACTGGCCATTGGAGAAACCCGATGGTGATGTTACCGGGTTAATCCGAAGCCATCCTTCCTTGTGGGTTGATGCTATGTGGTAGGGGCAGTTGGGCACGGGACTATGGGTTTGGATCTGACTTGAGCCGCTTATTTGCTGTGTGACCTCTGGTGAGTCACTTGCCCTCTGTCTCCACACCTGCCAAGAGCATGGAGGGATATGGTGCCTGCCAAGTGCTTGACTGTGCCAGGCTCTGAAGTGTGAATTAAGTGGGAGCTCTTAGGGCTTGTAGGGTTGAAACGTGTTCTTGTCAGAGCCCCTTGCTGCCCACTAAGGTTCTGAGGGGGCCCTGAAGGTGTTAAGTACACACAGAGACGCCCCAACCCACGGAGGGTTACTCTTCAAATAGTCGAGCCTTGCAGTCGGGCGGGGCAGCAGGGTGGTCCCTGGCCGTGCTGTTCTCATATGCCAGGCAGTGAAGCCCTTGGTCCTTGGTTGGGATGGGGGCTTCTCTGCACGTTACAGATGAGGAAACAGAGGCCCTGAGAGGCTGCTGCAGGGACGTTCAGCTTGGAGATGTGTAGATGGTTGCTGAATTCCTTTTGTCGCTTCCTACAAGCCCACGTTGTGTTTTGCTGGTTTCCAGTGTCCAGCTGCAAAGGGATGGCAGGACCCAAGAGGGAGGCACCCACCGTGGGAGCAGGGATTTTGGGGCTCTGGGCAACCTCGGGCAGGCCGGACAGTGTGTCACGGACTTCGATGGGCGGTTGACAGTGTTAATCATCACCATGTGTCACTAGCCAGCCCTCTGTGCACCCCCAGGCTTGGGGCAGGAGATAGAAAGGTACCCCTTCTGGGTCCTGCACCCCGCGGCTCCCACCTGTGTCCCTGGCCTGCGATGTTCTTGGCTCTGCCTGGTCTTAGGAGGCGACCCCCCCCCGCTCTACTTGCCCTTTGAACTTTTGTGTGTGACTTTTCTGAGACACTCTTGCTCGGTTGCTGAGGGTTAAGTGGCGTGATCTTGGGTCACTGCAACCTCCGCCTCGCAGGTTCAAGCTAGTCTTTTGCCTCAGCCTCCTGCGGGGCTGGGACTACAAGCACCTGCCACCATACCTGGCTCATTTTTATATTTAGTAGAAACGAGGTTTCTCTATTTTGGCCAGGCTGGTCTCAGGCTCCTGACGTCAAGTGATCCACCCACCTTGGTCTCTCAAAGTTCTGGGATTACAGGCATGAGCCACTGCACCTGGCCGTGTGTGACTTCTTTCCTGCTAACCAGGCCTGAGAAATAGGAAGAAGTTACAAAGCTTCCAGAATAAGACTTAAGACATTATTTCCGGTTGACAGTCATGGGCTCCTGCTTCGTTGAATGGCTAATGTGTGCAGGGAAGGACTCACAGGCCTTTAGGGTGTCGCGCCTGGGGAGAGCGTCTTTGTGGGGCCATACTTGTGGTCTATGCCAACCGTGTGATTTACGGTGGGACCTTGAGCTTGGAGGTGTTAGCTCTGTGGGTGTCACCCCTGTCTACGTCACCATACCCCAGAAAGACGAGGGACGCATCCCGGGTTGGTGATCTTCTGTCCGTGTTGAAGCTGGGAGGCTTCAGTGCAGCCCCTTCCTTTGCTGGTTTGTGTCTGTCATACACCCTGTGACAGCGGTGCCCCGTCCTTTGAGTGAATTATGGACCTGAGGGTGGTTGTGGTGCCCTGGGAGCTACGGACTAGGCATTAGCCTATTGGTTCAAGCGTCCCCAAGGCTGTGGGTACTTGAAGGTTTCACACGGCCCCACCCCCACCACTGTCGGCCAGGAAACAGACACAGCACACCGCCCTTCCCGACCAGGGTTTATTTGGTGGCTGCCTGGCTAGGTTGGCTACTACAGGGTCGTGGCTCCTACCACGTAGAAGAATGGCACTGAAGAGGGCAGCACTGAGTCCCGACCATGAGAACATGAGGAAGGCCGGAGGCAGGGCGTGGTGAGTGTGGGTCATGCGTGGCTGTTTGAGGGGTGGAGGAGATGAGGAGGTGGGATGCTGGTCCCAGGAGGCCGCCCCTGTCACTGATCACCTTTTGCTGCGGCAAGACCCTGGCAACACAGCTACTGCTCTGCCAGCTCAGGTGGGGGGCGGGGGAGGCCTCCTTCCCTTCCCAGCAGGGAAACACCTTTTTGTGGAGGATACATTGGAAAGACAACTTCTGCACCAAAGTTTCTAGAAAACAGGGGATGTCCTTTACAAGAAGGGGCCTCTGGGAGGCGGTCAGTCGCGTCCCACTGTGCACCAGGCAGCTAGAAGGAGAGAGAGACGGTAGACAGAGCACTGAGCATGGGGCAGCCTCCTGGCTGGTGGTGGGCATCTGGAAGGGCACGTGGTGGTATAGCTCCCCTCACCAGCGCCCTGGGGAAACATCAGCTTCCCTGGCAGCTGCGAGGCAGAAAAGCCCTTCCTGCGGCTGGCAGCTCAGAGCCCTGGCCTTAGATGGTGGAAGGCTTTAGGCCCTTGTGTGATGCACAGCTGCTCACTGGTCACCCGGGTGTGAACCACACTCCTGGGAAGGCACATTCAGTCTGGCTGGACGTGGAGGGCGGGGGTGCTCTACTGCCAGCTCCGGCATCCACACCTGCTGCAGGCTGGGGCTGCCTCCGAGCTGGCTGGGACCTGGGCACTCTCCTCTCCCCCAGGACCCTCTCTGCCCACCTAGCATTGGGCCACAGTTCCTCCAGCAGCAAACAGGGAAGGCTCCAGTCTGCAGGGGCAGCCTCTGGTGCTGTTCCCTGCTCTCTCTACACAGGTGGCCACAGTGGTTCTAGGCCTTCGCCTCCTACCTGGCACTGAGATCCTGGAGAGGGCCTCGGGCTGGCTCAGCATGTCCACCTTGACGTGCCGGAACGCCTTGCACACGGGGCTCTGCAGGTGCCTGCCACCCGGGGACACGTGTTAGTCAAGGGGGGGCTGGGAGCAGAGCCCCTGTTCATGCTCGCTGTGCCCAGGAGGGGGGACCTCATCCATCATCCTGGGGGAATCTTTAGACCCAGAGCGTTTGTGAGAAGGCGAGGGGGTGCCCAGGGCAGCTGAGTGTGGGTAGCTCTGGGGTAGGCAGGGAGCTTTTCTTTCCCCTGTGAGCCTGGCAGGTGCTGCAGGTACCCCTCTTATGAGTGCACGGAGTCTCCAACTCCGACTTTACCTTAGGAGGAGGAGTGGGGCCATCCTCTACCCAGGAGAGATGACAGCATGAAAGCTGCGAAGGGTTCTAGTCCCTCAGTTTGTGAGTCCCTGCTCCCACCGGGGTTCTCAATTTGTCAGCACACCCTGAGTGTTAACTGGGGAAGCAGGTGATAGAGGCATGAGCTTGCCCCGTCCCTCCTCCTGCCTCTGATGTCTGGCACGTGAGAAAGTCTCTACCCCAGGTGGGGAACAAACGGCCCAAGATGTGCTCTGAGCAGTCCACAGGACCCTAAAACCCATCAGAGCTGATGATTTCCCCTACCATCCCCCCTCCACTGAGCTGGAGGGGAGGTTCACGGCTGGCACTACTGATCACCTAGGGACTGAATTACCTTGGGTGTCTGGCCCTCCACTCCACAGGGCTGGGCATGGAGGAAACTCTGGGGGAATCAGGAGGGCACCTGACCTTAGCCCAGCAGTTTCTCATCACCCCCAGGCAGCGGCTGTGGGGGTAGATCCTCAGCAGGGCTGCTGGGGCACCTGCATTGAAAGTGCCCAGCTGGGTGCACTGGGGGGGGGGGGGTCTCAAAATCCCCTGAGGACTCCTGCATGCACGGGAGTTAACTGAGACATGCATTTGCAGGGAGAGATGCCTCGTGACTCTGTGCGCTGGGCTTGGCTCCAGGTGAGGGGCCCTGGCAGCCGGCCATCCCCCACCCGGGCTTCCCCATCACCTGCCACACTCACCTCTTCCACTCTTCCTCTGTCTCCCAGAACTCATAGACAACAAAGGTGAAGCCGTCTGAGAGCCTCACGGCAGCGATGCTGCAATGAGAGACAGGGGGGAGCCTGTACTTTAGCGCGCCCTCTCCCTCGCAGGGCCCTGAGGACCCCGGACACAGTGGCTGCCTTCAGCCTTTCTTCCTCCCTGTCTTGCCCTCTGTTGGGCCTTGACTAGTGACCCTAGAGCCCAGCTCTGAGATAGATACCCTAAGACTGAGGGGGTTGGGGTGGCCAGCAGGACCCTCCAGGATCAGAAAAAAGGGACTTCGGTTTTTTTCAGCCTGTGGCCCAAGCTGGAGCGCAGGGGCATGATCAGGACCCACTTCAGCCTCAGAAGTAGCTGGGACTCTCGGCCTGGCAAATTCAAACAATGTCTTCATAAAGATGGAGTCTGTGGTCCCCAGGCTGATCTTGAACTCTTAGACTCAAACAATCCACACACCTTGACTTCCCCGGGTGCTAGGATTGCAAACTCCAGCCCCTATACCAGCTGTGATGTTATTCTAAAAGGCTTCATCTTTATTTAAACAAAACCGGTGAGCCCCATGTGATGGCTCACACCAGTAATCCCAGCACTTTGGGGGTCGAGGCAGGTGGATCACTTGAGGCCAGGAGTTCAAGACCAGCCTCACCAACGTGGTACAAGCCTGTCTCTAAAAAAAATTACCCAGACATGGGGGTGCATGCCAGTAATCCCAGCTCCACCAGAGGCTGAGGCAGGAGAATTGCTTGTACCGGGAGACAGATTGCACCATCGCCCTCCACGCTGGGTGCCAGAGCAAGACTGTCACAAAATAAATAAATAAAGCCCTATCTTTAAAAATCAAAGCATCTTCCTCCTGATCCTCCTCTCATGAAATCCTAGAAACAACTCCACTACGCTGTACCTGCCCTGGACAAAGCTGCAGCAGACCCGTCCTTAGTCCCACGGGTGGAACCCCCAGTTCAGCACTCCCCTCAGTGTAAACGCTCAGATCCTGCCTGCCACTCCCGGCTCCTCTGTACAAGGCCCAAGTGACCATAAAGGGGGAGCCAAGAGCGGGGGGTGGAGGGAGGGTGCCAGGCTGGAATCCCTCCTGCGGCCAGCACATGCCCCATGCCTGCCTCTGCCACTCCAGACTTGCCTTCTCCAACTCAACAAACGGCACTGTCCCCTACAGAGGCTCTGAAGCCAAGTCTCTCCGTCCACCCTGCCTCCTCTCCACCGCCCATCCGGGTGGCTCTGCCTTGCCCTGGCCCCACATTTCACATATCAGAGGAAAGACCAGGTCCTGCGCCCCAACCCAGGCTACTGAAGCACGGCCCCTGGTGGCCACCCCGGGTCTCCGCAGCAGCCGCACTCCTGCCCGGGCTACCGCCACTTAGGCAGGCCTCAGTGCACCTGCAGCCCAGGAAGACCCCTCCCCAAGACCCCGTGCGGACCTGGCCTGCCTGGTTCACAACCGTGCCCCCAAAGGGGTGAATGAACGAGTCCCGGGGTGGAGTGAGGCAGAGCCTGGCCGTAGAGACGGGGAGGAGCACCTGGGCCTCATGCTCCTTGGGGACCCCTACCCTCTAGAACGAAGGGCTGTTGTCTGCTGCAGAGCCCTACACTCTGGCCATGTCACGTGGCTTAGCTTTACCAAGGAGCTACATCAGCCCAGGGGATGAACGGGAATTTGAGGGTCAGGCACCTTCCCCGACCCTGGATTTCTCGGCCCTGACTAGGGGGGAGGAGGGAGAAAATGGCGGCTACATTTCTTGGCCATTCCCCTCCAGCCTCACCTACTCGCCTTCCTTGGTTAACTGAGCACATACTACATTTTGTACCTGGTGAAAAGTGTGCAGCCATGCTCGAGACAGAGTGACACCTAAGACTGAGTGAGTGCACGCGGCACACGAGACACGGCTGGAGGCTTTCACACTTGATTCTATCTCCACCCGTGATAACCCACAGCAAGGAGTCTGGGGGGTGTCACCCCTTTACAGATGCGTAAGCTGAGGCTGGGGAGATGAGACTCTCCTCCCATGTTTGCATGGCTGGGAGGAACCTGAGTAAAGACCTGAACCCAGCTCTTATGCACCCAGCTATGCGTGTTCCTGGGGTGCGATTTGTATGTAGGGGTAAGGCTGGTCCCGCCCCGTCCCTCCACCGCCAGGCGGAGCTCCCTGCCACCATCCCACCACGCCGGGCGGCTCACTCACTGGAAGCAGCTCCTCTCTCCCGCGGTGCCCCGCAGATACTGGCGCAGGGAATCCACGAACTCGCTCAGCTGCTCAGGGCACACGGCCATCTCCTGCCGGACCAGCTGCAGGTGCCACCGGCCACAACAGGAGTCAGTGTGGGGCTCCCTGGCAGGCCTCCTCCCTGAAGACCCATCCATGACCTCCCTTCCTCGGTCAAAAAATGAACCTCCCACCCTTTTCATTCTTAGCATACGAATGGAATAAAAATAGGCTACGAAAGGATTAGAAGCAGAGGCAGCCCCCACAAATGGGGAAAACAGACGCAGGTGATTACACAGGCCCCAGCCGTGGCCACAGCTGCTGCCAGGCCTCCGGGGCCCGGAGACACAGCATACCCACGGACCAGAAAAATTCGGAGTTGATGGACTGAGCATTTTGATATCACTGTCCTGCTGGCCACTTTGTTTTAGACCAAACTTTTTTTTTGGATCAAAGACCAGGGACCTTAAGGAACACCCCTGGTGTAGGGGGTGGCTTCGGGCCAGGGCAGGGCCTAGGGGCCAAGTGCTGGGGCTACATCTCCCCTGATGGTGGTCCCAGGCAGGGCCGGGGGCCGGGGCATCGAGCCCCATGGATCCAGGCAATCCTGACTCGCACAGGGATGCGGTCCCAGGAGAGGTAGGGGAAGGGGCCTTACCATGTTGGTGCCGTCTTCGTCCGAGAGGCGCTGCTGCAGGTCGAACCACAGTGCCTGAAACAGGGCAGCTCACAGTCAGGTCGCAGCCAGAGATGCCCGCCACCCCAGGTGCGGGGAGCTCTGGGATCCCTGAGGCTGCAGGGAGCTGCCAGGGGCCTGGCCCTGTTATGCAGGGCCCGGAGACCAACCCTAGGCAGTGGCAGAGACTCCCTCTGGCCCTGGCATCTGGGGGCAGTGGGAGGCACAGGTGACCCCATGCAGAGGGCACAAAGGGGGTTCTGAACATGTCGCTGGGGCGAGGATGGCTTGGGAGAGGAAGCAATGGGAACCACAGAGGCCCAAGTCTGAGATGCTGGGGTTGCCAAAATCATGAGCAGCAGCCCTTAGACTCCCTGTAACTTACAATCGCCCCAGGTCCTAACCCCCAGAACCTCAGGGATCTAATGGGGTGACCAGTTCTCTCTGGCCTTCTCTGGTATCTGAGCTAGATGCTTTACAAATACACATTCAATCCTCCAGACTCCCCGGGGCAGGTGCTGCCCCACTGTGAGCTCGTCTCCAGGAACCACATCCGTTCTGCTCACCGGCGCCTGTTATCTACACAGGGCTGAGCCCTCCCAGATGATCAGCAGTCACTGTGTCACAGCAGAGAACCCTAGCCCTGAAGGAGAGAGAGCTGTGTCCATGTCCAAGCGTGGGTCTGAACCCAGTTTCTCTACCTGACACAGAGGATCATGCTGCTGCTTCCTTTAACTAGGGCACCCCATTGTCCACGTCCGGGGGCTCACACCTGTGATTCCAGCACTTTGGGAGGCCGAGGCAGGTGGATCACCTGAGGTTAGGAGTTTGAGACCAGCCTAGCCAACATGGCGAAACCCTGTCTCTACTAAAAATACAGAAATTAGCCAGGCGTGATGGCACATACCTGTCATCTCAGCTACTGTGGAGGCTGAGGCAGGACAATCTCTTGAACCTGGAAGGCAGAGGTTGCACTGATCCGAGACTGCACCACTGCACTCCAGCCTGGGCAACAAGAGCAAGACTCTGTCTCCACAAAAAAAAAAAAAAAAAAAAAACACCTGGGCACCCCACTACCCACCACGACCAGGCCCATCTCTCCATCCTCCAGGAGGACAGATGGTCTCTAGGAGTCACACAGGGCGCAGGTGAGGCACACTGGCTAATAAGGAAAATAGCAGCATGTGGGTGAGTCTGCGCAGTCACCACCGTGACGTTCCAAACGTCTGAGGGAGAGGCCTTGTGTGCTCAGTTTCCACTGGGCCCTGTAGTAGCTGATCCTGGAAAGGGTATTGCCTTCTCGGGAGTACACGGCACGATCGCACTTTCGTGAGTGAAGGTGTGCATGGAAGGAACAAGGCTGTTTCCATGGTTTTAAAGCGTACATGTGGGCTCCTACGGCTGAGGCTGGAAGAGCCACAAGGGATGAGGAGAGGCAATACGGCCCATGTATCTGCCCCGTTCTGCTCCCAGCCAGCTGCCCCTAGGACCTCCGTCCTTCTAGCTGAGAGGCATCTCAGGTTGGCAGGTGAAGGGCGGGGCCTGAAACCAGGCGCAGATTGGCCCCTGCTCACGGCCCGGGCCAATTAGAGGCTGGGGAGGAGGGCCTGGTCCCACCCCGTCTCCAGGACGCCCAGGTACTCCGTGGTTACCAGCCAGCCTGGTTGTTAGGGCGACCAGGGCACTAAAAATAAGCTTCAAAGCGTCTCCCTGCCGAGGCGCCCGCAGAGTTGTTATGACAACCGGGCCACGGGGTCCCCTCCTAGCCATTCCGCAGTCAGCTTAGAGAAAGGGGTAACCCCACCTTGGCCTCATCCCTGAGGGGGAAGTTCGAGCTTCCTCCCTCGGACTTCGGACTTCGCTGCATGTCAGCCTCTGCCTCCCTCTGTGTGCAGAGCCCCTTGTTCCTGCCCCCATGAATTCCTCAGAATGAACCCCCAACTAAAAGCGGCAATACCCTTTGCAAGGTGTTAAAAAAAAATACGAAAAAGTAGGAGAAACATAAAACACCTCAATTCCAGGCTTCTGAGAGCTCGGTGACCTTGGCTCCTACGGGTATATGGGTGTGGTGTGTGCACATGGATAGGATTTGTTAACAAAATGCCTCCTAATCACTGCTGCTATTAAATGCAAACTATGGCACTGGGCTCTGTACTAAACCACCGAGGTATCATTTTGGTTCATCCTGTCAACACCCCTGTAAGGGAGGGGTCCTGTGCCCCAGGTTATTTTCTTCATCAGACGAAGAATCTCAGCCTCAGAGAAGACAAGACCCTGGCCCAAGGCCACACAGCTCTGAAGTGGCACAAGCAGAACTCTGACTGACACTGAGCCCATCTGTCTGCAGGCCCTAAGACAAACTTTTCTTTCCATCCAGTGGACATATTGTGAGCACTCTGCCCTGAGTCATGAAACACTCTCTGAAAATGCTCTCTGTAAGGGCCATGTTATTTTCTAACACCTGCGGATGTCCCATTTCACACTTCATACATTTGCTTCTGCTGGGCGCGGTGGCTCACGCCTGTCATCCCAGCACTTTGGGAGGCCGAGGCAAGGGGGTCACAAGATCAGGAGATGGAGACCATCCTGGCTAACACGTGAAACCCCAACTCTACTAGAAATACAAAAAATTAGCTGGGCATGGTGGCATGTGCCTGTAGTCCCAGGTACTTGGGAGGCTGAGGCAGGAGAATCGCTTGAACCCGGGAGGCGGGGTGTGCAGTGAGCCCCAATCGCAGCCACTGCACTCCAGCCTGGGCAACAGAGTAAGACTCCATCTCAAAAAAAAAAAAAAAAAAAGTTTGCTCCTGCTGGTCACTTCCTTCCTTGGTTCGAATCTCTCCCGAATCATCACGTCTCCCTTTCACCCCAGGGCTGCCTCTTGGCTAACACATGCTCCGGCCACCTTAGAGCCAAGTCTCCTTCGAAGCTAGGGCCTTGCAGCCGGGGACCCGACCCTGCTGACCACGCTGTGCCCCTGGAGCTGCTCCTGCTGCATGCCAGCCTGCCCAGCCCCCCAACACTCCCTCTCCCCAGGTGCCCGCCCTCCTTCGGCCTGAACAACAGCTGCTGCATTCCCTGGGGTTTGATCCGTAGCTTCGGCCTCTGCATCTCCATGCCCCACCTGTGGGATGTCTTTTCCACGGCTCCCTGGCCCCTCTGCAGCCCAGACTTCTGACCAGGCCTAACTCCGCACCCCCTCAGGGGTTGTGAGGAACAGAGGCTGGGTCTGGCCAGGGCTTACCTTGCTCTCCAGCCTCCCAATCAGCTCTGCCAAGCGGCTGATCTGGGTTTCTAGGCCCTCTTCCTTTGTATCCTCAGCAGCTGAGGAAGAGAAAGAGACACACAGACTGCAGTGGCGGGCAAGGCGAGGGCTTCAGGGGGAAGCCGGAAACACCCAGCCCCCCAGGGGCCTCAAACTTGCCCCTCACCTCCCCAGTCCCCCTCAAAGGACTCTCAGAACCCCCGGCCAGTACCCCCACCAGGGCCCCTGCTTTCTCTCACCAGATGGAAGACTCCTGCCTTGTTCCGTGGCCATGAGCTTGTGGTTGGGGGCAGAGCGGGGAGTGGGGCTTCCACACCAGGTCTGCGCCACACTGTGGCTGGGTTTGCTGTGGTTCTGTCTGCAGTTGGAATGGGAGAACAGACAGACCTTGACCACTTCTAGCAGCTTCAACAAACATTTATTAAGCCCCAATAGTGAGCTTACCCATGCACAGAGCTTGTCCATGGCCTTTGACAGAGGAGGAAATGAGGTTCCTACAGCAGGTGCCTCAGCCAGGGCCACGCACCCTGCTGGGGCAGAGCTGGGATTTGAATTCAGCTCCATTCAGGGACCCCACGGCCCAGGCCTTTTCCCCAGGAGATTCAGTTCCAGGGAGAGGCTGAGCCAGCTGCCGACCCCAACCCTAATAGCTCACAGATTCCAGGCACGTGGAGACCCCACACTGTGGAGGAACCAAGTCCCCCTCCTCCCTCATGAGAAGCCAGTTTGGTGTTTGGTGCCCTCTATGGTGGGGGACCTACTTTTAAGACCCTCCTCCAACACACACGCATAAAAGCAAGACCTAAAGAGACACCGACAGTGGGGGATGTAACCGGACAGCAACTGCTCTCCTGACCTGAGCCTGGCCCCATCTCCTGGCCCTGGTCACCCCTTCTCCTGAGCATGCTGATCTGCACACACCCCTGCGTGCCCTGACAGGCACAGCTAGCCAGAGGCAGACACACAGACACACACACTGCTCACCTTGCGCTGTGCCCAGCACACAGGAGGGACTGTGCCCAGCACATAATAGAGACTCAAACAATGCTCAGTGAATGACCACATCCTCTGGTGCAAAAGGATGCTGGAAAGCTCCCTGCAGACATACAGAAACACAGACACCCCCTCCCCCCCACACACACAAAAGACACACACAGAGCCCCGTGCACAGCCCCCACACCCTCTCGGTCTCTGGACACCATGGTCTTGGTGCATTGTGGAATTTGTCTCCTGTGAACCTTGAACACTCAGCCTGGCTCTCCCCCATGCCGAGGGAGCAAACTGCACTCCCACCTTGGGAAGCGAGAGACCGGCACAGCCTTTGTGGTGTCAATCACGGCTTCTCTATAAACCAGCAGGAAATTAAATGTCGGGTTGCTCAGGGCTCCTGGGCAGTGGGGTCTGAGCCAGTAGCCTGTGCTGGAGGCGACACCCTGGGAGACTGTCCCAGGTCTGAGACAGGATACTCCTCAGGGACCCACAATCTAGAACCAAACTAGCTGAGATTTAGGGAGGTTTGAGGGAGGAGCATGTGTGGAGCAGAGGTGTCCCCCGATAATGACATGTCACCCCCTCCAACAACATCCCCAGGTAAGGTCCCACCAGGGCGGGCAGTTGGTGGAACTGCTGACACGTGAGGGAGCTGGCCCGGTGCGGGAAGTGAGCTCTGAACACCGTGCAGCAATTCTGCCTGATCTGTGGCAGGATAAAAACAGCAAGTTTTTCATCAAGACACTAACAGAAAACCAAGGAAATCTAAGTTTCAGCGTTCAGAGTGATGGCTGCTAATTCTAGGGAACCCAGGAAGCACAAGACTGATCACAGATGCCAGGTTCTGTGCTCCAGCCCAGGGATTCTAACCAGTGGGTATGGCCAGGAGTCCAGGAATCTGTACTCTACTTTAGCAAGTGCTCAGAGCTAGCTCATTCTGGAAACAGTGTCTCAGAGTGCCCTTCACAATCTGATTGGGACCAGGTCTTCACCCACAAAGGAACACACAATCAAACCCGTGCCCATCCCCCCAACAAACCGACATCCTGGTCCTCATGTGCCTCTCTGCCTGGAATATTCAAGGCTCAATCGAGCTTGGGTACCGACACCTGGCTGTGCCCACATCTGTTTGCATTTTCTCTTTTTCTTCTCTGTGCCAAGCACATCAGCTGTTCTGGGAAGAACTGGGCAAAGAGGGGTTTATCTCAACTCGGGATAGCAAACGGGGATGGGGATGCCTGCGGTCCCCAGGGGGCTGGGACTGCTGAGCCAGGAGAACACCGCTCCTCTCTCAATACCAGGTCTGAGCCCGAACACAGCATCCACCACCTAAGAGGAGACCCCAGACGCGTTCCCATGGCTCTGAGCACGCAGACCCAAGACCACAAACTGTGAGAAAACCACCGCACTTTCACGTCTCTTTCTGTCCTCCCAGCAAAGTTCTAACTTGCTACTACTGTCTTTAACGCCTCGTTCCCATTTCGTGGTCTCTCATTTTAGCAGAGCAGCAGCAAGCCTCAGGATTCAAGCTGGAATGCAGGAAATGACAGGTGCTTATTTTTATAGTGACTTCACTTACAGCATGTGATACTCAGTGTGCAGTTACTTTAGCATGTGCCATTTCCCACAGTGATTTCTAATTTTCAGCAGTGGGCTGGGGTGCAGTGGCTCATGCCTGTAATCCTAGCCCTTTGGGAGGCTGAGGCGGCAGGATTGCTATGGCCAGGAGTTTGAGAACAGCCTGGCCAACATAGCGAAACCCCATCTCTACAAAAACTTTTACAACGATAGCTGGCTCTGGTGGGACTACGTGCCTGCAGTCCCAGCTCCTTGGGAGCCCGAGTTGGAGGCTGCAGTGAGCCACAACGGTGCCACTGCACTCCAGCCTGGGTGACACAGTGAGATCCTGTGTCGAAAAATAAAATAGGCCAGGCACAGTGGGTCACGCCTGTAATCCCAGCATTTTGGGAGGCTGAGGCAGGTGGACCACGTGAGACCAGGAGTTCGAGACCAGCCTGGCCAACAGGGCAAAACTCTGTCTCTCCTAAAAATACAAAAATCAGCCAGGTGTGGCGTTGTATACCTGCAATCACAACTACTCAGGAGGCTGAGGCATGAGAATTACTTGAAACCAGGGAGGGGCAGGTTGTAGTGAGCCAAGATCATGCCACGGCACTCCCGGGTAACAGAGGGAGACTCTGTCCAAAATAAAGAAAATAAATCATAAAATAAGATATGGGCCAAACAGCAGAATGGCTCTGCATAAACAGTAAGCAGGATGTGGATGTGGATGTGGCAAAACAAATCAGTCTTCACTGTACTAATAAATACGCACACCACGCATTCTCCTGAGCATTTACCTCTCATTCAATCCTTGCAGCTGAGGTTGTAGGCACTTAATTGTGCCCACATCACACAAGGGAGCACTGAAGGCAGAGAGAGTTGCCACAACTTGCCCAAGGTGACCCAGCTCTTAGGTACACAGACACCCCCACCAAGCAGCAGGTGGGCAGGTGCCCGTGCGCAGTGAGCCCCCAAGTGCCCTGCAGGGGCTCAGCGACTCACCGGATCTGGCTGGTCTGTTCCTCGATGGCTTCCACCGCACTCTCCACGGAGCTGAGCAGCGACTGGATCTGACTGGCCGTCTCCTTCAGGAGGAAGCGGGTCACAAACTGGTCCACATTGTTGCCACCCTCATATACCTGTGGACGGAAGGGAAGGGGCACTGAGGGGAAGGGGAGGGACACTGGAGGTGGGGTCTAGCACAGGAGTCGGGGGAAAGCTGGTGTTGACATGTTTGCTTTGCAATGGGAAGGGAGGACCCCACGGCCTCCTGCACCTCAGAGGCTGTGGTGTGTCCAGCGCAGAGGCTAGACGTTTAGAGACCAAATGCGAACCCTGTTTCACCATTCACTAGCTCTGTGACCTCGCCGAGGATAATGGGATCACTCTAGTATCTATCTTACATGGCTGTCATGAAGGTCAAAGGGCATCATGTGTATCAAGTGCTCAGCACAGGGCCTGTCGCACAGCAGAGTCTCAATAAATAGTAGGTGCCACAATGGAGAGACTGTGACGGTCGCAGTGATGATAGTGGTCACCGGTGGTTTTGTTGTTGCTGTGACAAGGATCATGATCAGGAAACAAGCATCTACCACCTTTCCTCCCTCCTTCCTCCTCTGGGGAGGATTCCTAGGGCTCCTGGAAGAAGAGAATCAACAGCAGCTCCAGAGAGGAAAGGGCTGGGGCTTAGAAATCAAGAGGAGGAGGCCGGACAGAAGCCTTGCGGGGGAATCAGAGAGGGAGTCTCCGCAGATGCCACGACCAGGGGAACTCTAGGGAAAAGAGGAAAAACAGTTTTCTCCAAGTTTTGCTCTGTCAAATGGAAGAGAATTTCCACTTCTGTACCGAGATTCTGCTAGGCCATTTTTCAAGGCTTTTGGATCCAGGGGAGAAGCTCTGGGCTGCCAAAGGCTTCACAGCAGAAGGGAGAAGGCTCTGCTTATCCACATCGCTCAAGGACGAGACAATGAAAATGATGCTGTGTTGGGGGATCCTGGATCTCCCGGCCTCCTCTGCCAAGACCCCGCCTTCCTGAGCCACCTGCCCCAGGCACCTTGGAATTCTGCCCAGTCCCTGGCAAGGCAAGGAAAAACAGGGCCCTCAAGGAAAGCAAATTAAACCATCCATCACTCTGACTGGGAATTAATTAGCAATAATTGCACAATGGGAAACATGGCTGAGAGACTCAGAAATGAAGGAGGAGGAGGAGAGGCACATGGGAAGACGGCTAAGGCGTGGCAGAGGCAGACGCCCCGTGCCGATGGCCGGACCAGGGCCTGCTGGGGACAAACTCTGACAGAGTACCAGTTCACAGCCAAAAGTACGTCAGGTTCTTGCAGCCTGGCAGGTTCCAGCAGCCTGATAAATGACCGATTATCCTTCCTAGCAGACAGCTGGAACCACACATGATCCAGTGATCAACAGACTCTAGACACACGAATGGCCAAAAATGGACATGAAGACGTAACTCAGTAAAATATTTAAACACAAAGGAAACGGCTTCTAGAAGTGATCAAGCAGAAAAATGAGTTGAAGTGTGTTAAAAGCACCCAGACCAGCGACCGAAGGGATCAGTTAGCGTTACCGGTTAGCTGAATTCCGAGGAAGACAAGTTATTTTTCAGGGAGTAAAAAATGAAGGTTTTCCTGATTTCTCCTCCACCACAAGTGAAAAGTGACCTACATCCCCCCATGTACAGATACAATCTCAGATTTGGTAAGCGGGGGTGCATGTGCCTATTTGTTACATGGTGCATTACACAATAACGCTGGGGGGACTGAGTTTGCCTCAGAAAAGAGACCAGCTCCATAGACTCCACAGGGAACGGCTCAAAGAAATTTTGCGCCCAGTGGACAAGTTACTTATTTGTGGAGCAACTGGTAGATATCTAGAAATGTGCAAATTTCTGAAACTCTACCAGATGAGCACCTTTCTGCAAACAATCCTTAAGAATTTGTCCTAAGTCATCTGGGTTTGAATTAGAGTTCTTCATCTAGAGAAATTGTGAAAAGCAGTAACAAGGATCACTCAAATTAAACATTAAGGTTACAGAGGTTAGGAAATAAAAACATTAACCAGTATAGTTGAAATTAAGTAATGATGTAATTTCAACTGTACTGGATTCAGTCAATAAAGTATAGAAAAAATAGCCTAAAATCATAAAAATTATTTTTATTCCCAAAGGGAAGATAAAGAGATGGAGCCTTGCTCTGTCGCCCAGGCTGGAGTACAATGACGCAGTCTCGGCTCACTGCAACCTCCGCCTCCTGGGTTCAAGCAATTCTCCTGCCTCAGCCTCCCAAGTAGCTGGGATTATAGGTGCCCGCCACCACACCCAGCTAATTTTTGTATTTTTGGTAGAGATGGGGTTTCACCCTGTTGGTCAGGCTGGTCTTGAACTCTTGACCTTGTGATCCGCCCACCTCGGCCTCCCAAAGTGCTGGGATTACAGGAATAAACCACCTCACTTGGTGAGAAAGTGTTTTTTATTAGCTAAGTATAAAAGTAGAATTAAGAATGTTAATGATGTATTTTTTTAAAGTAACTAATAAAGTGAATACTAGAAATTGTACATTCCCAATCATAATCCATGATATCAACAGATCACCAAAAGGTAAAATGTAACAGAGATGAAAAGAAATCATAAAAAAAGAGAAGGATAAAACGCAACAGTTAGACCAAATAAAACAATAATAAAAAGGCAGCCCGAATTCCCTTATATAAAGACACAGTCCCAGATCTGATTAGACGAGGTCCACCAGAGGTACAGCTAAACAAAAGTGGCACAAAGAACTTATTAAAAAAAAAAGCCCGTGCAAAGATTCAGTAGCCAACTGTGATTGAATGAACAGGACAAGTTGCAACATCACTATCAGGTTAGAATTTAAGTGAGAAAGTACTGCCCAAGAAAGGTAGGAATCCAACGATAAAAGCCCTCAAGTTGTAACAAGCACATGCCGTTATTAAATCTTCACGTACTGGGAGAGGGTACAGCTTTGGGGACTTCGATGCCTATAGCCATCTGATCAAACCATTTTGCTATATGTCAAGGGCCATAAACTGCTCAGATTCTTTAACCCAGTAATTCCTGAATTCTGATAAATTATCCTCCCAAAATAGTGCAAAATATGGATACATACATTTGCCACAAAGTATTAAGCACATATTACTCATAATAGCCAAAACTTGGAAATAATCTCTTAAACCTAACAAAAGAGGAAAAGTAAGTAAATTAAAATATTTTAAATGATGCTTTTCAAGCATCATTTAACAACATTTAATAATATAGGGAAAACGTTAAAAAAATTAGGTAAAAGAGCAGGAAATAAATTTTTGTACACAGATTACAAGTTTAAGAAATACACATGGAAAAAAGACTAAAGGAGGCCAGGCATGGGGGCTTATGCCTGTAATCCCAGCACTCTGGGAGGCTGAGGCGGGCGGATCACAAGGTCAAGAGATTGAAGCTATCCTGGCCAACATGGTGAAACCTTGTCTCTACTAAAAATACAAAAATTAGCTGGGTGTGGTAGCGCACACCTGTAATCCCAACTGATCGGGAGGCACAGGCAAGAGAATCGCTTGAATCCAGGAGGCAGTGGGTGCGTGAGCTGAGCTCACACCACCACACTCCAGCCTGGTGACAGAGCGAGACTATGCCTCAAAAACAAAAAAAAGAAAAAGAAAAAAGAAAAATTGGCTACAAGTAATAAACTAAAATGTTACCAGTAGTTAGGGATAGTGGGAATTGGAAGTGATTGGATTTCTCTTTATACTTATGTCTACTTCCTAAATTTTGCATATCAACTACATACCATTTATATAATGAAAATACTGTAACAGAAGTCTACATGTATCAAGCAACATGGCTAAAAATATAGACAGAAAAGCCATTAGAAACACAAAGATTTAATGACAGAACACAATTTAGTATGAGAAATTAGCTGACCACTGTCCCACAGGACAGATACATTAGATAAAAATAAGCACAGATACAAAGGGCATTGTTTGAAAGAATAGTGAAAGTCTTTGAAATGGATAAGAACAGACTCCTGGGTTTCCTGTTTTTCTAGTTTACTTTTTTTTCTAGTTTATCTGAGTCTTTCCTTATTTTGGAGCTACTCTGTTTTGTTTTCCAAAAAGGATTTAATTGAAAGATGGATTTGAGGCCAGGTGCGGTGGCTCAAGCCTGTAATCCCAGCACTTTGGGAGGCCGAGGCGGGTGGATCACGAGGTCAAGAGATCGAGACCATCCTGGTCAACATGGTGAAACCCTGTCTCTACTAAAAATACAAAACATTAGCTGGGCATGGTGGCACGTGCCTGTAATCCCAGCTACTTGGGAGGTTGAGGCAGGAGAATTGCCTGAACCCAGGAGGCGGAGGTTGTGGTGAGCCAAGATTGCGTCATTGCACTCCAGCCTCAGTAACAAGACTGAAATGCCGTCTCGAAAAAAAAAAAAAAAAAAAGATGGATTTGAGAACTTGTTAAAGGAGGGAAGCAGATGACAGAAAGTTGGGGTTTATTTATTATTTTTTATTTCACATTCAGAGGGTACATGTGCCTGTTTGTTACATGGGTATATCATGTCCTGGTGGAGACTGAGATTGTAGTGTACCCATCACCCAAATACTGAACACTGTACCTAGTAGGTCATTGGTCAATTCTCACCCCCCTCCTACTCTCCCTGGAGGAACTTTTAGAACTCTGAGGATAGAGACCATTTCTAATAATTCAGAGTTCTCTTCTGGCTGGGGATGATGGCTTATGCATGTAATTCCAGCACTTTGAGAGGCCAAGATGGGAGAGGATTGCTTGAGCCTAAGAGTCTGAGACCAGTCTAGGCAACAAAGGGATGCCCTGTCTCTACAAAAATAAAAAATAAAAAAAAAATGTAAGGAGTGGTGGCCTCCACCTGTGGTCCCAGCTACTTGGGAGGCTGAGGTGGGAGGATGGCTTGCGTCCGGGAGGTTGAGGCTACAGTGAGTGATGATTGTGCCATGCTGCACTCCAACCTGGGCAACACGGAAAGACCCTGTCTTTAAAAAAAAATTCTGTTAAAGGCCGGGCGCGGTGGCTCAAGCCTGTAATCCCAGCATTTTGGGAGGCCGAGGCGGGTGGATCACGAGGTCAAGAGATCGAGACCATCCTGGTCAACATGGTGAAACCCCGTCTCTACTAAAAAAAATACAAAAAATTAGCTGGGCATGGTGGCGCGTGCCTGTAATCCCAGCTACTCAGGAAGCTGAGGCAGGAGAATCGCCTGAACCCAGGAGGCGGAGGTTGCGGTGAGCCGAGATCGCGCCATTGCACTCCAGCCTGGGTAACGAGCGAAACTCTGTCCCCAAAAAAAAAAAAAAAAATTCTGTTGCACAGAAACGCACAGGAATTTTCTCCGGCACTCTCCACAGGGCAAATGGCTGTGGCCATGGCATAGTGACTAGTTAGGCATTTATTCACCAATTGCTTTCAGAATCACTATTTACCTATATATTAGTGCACTTGTTCTTTGCATTGTCCTTTAAGCCACTTCCAACATCTTACTGATTCTCATACTGAGTTAAAGAAAATCTTTGATGTGAGCATTTTATTATTATTTTTGAGACAGAGTTTTGCTCTTGTTGCCCTAGCTGGGGTGCAGTGGCGGGATCTCGGCTCACTACAACCTCCACACTCCGGGTTCAAGTGATTCTCCTGTCTCAGCCTCCCAAGTAGCTAGGTTTACAGGCGCATGCCACCACGCCCGGCTAATTTTTTTGTATTTTTAGTAGAAACAGGGTTTCACCATGTTAGCCAGGCTGGTCTCAAACTCTTGACCTCAGGCGACCCACCTACCTTGGCCTCCAAAAGTACTAGGATTATAGCCATGAGCCACTGCACCCAGCCAATGAGGTGTATATTTTAATACTTACAGAAGAGACATAATTTTACCTTTAAAAAAATTGTCTCTTAGCAGCACATACTTCATAACAAAGCAAGGATAGCTATTTTCAAATCTGATAATTCTGCAAGCACAGTCCACATCTTCTCAAGCATTCATGAGACAGAAAAACAAACACAAATTAATGCAAAAATCTCAATATATTACACAAATAGAGTAGAAACCTTTCTGGTTATTCAGTTTTATCTTAATACAATTAACTGAAAAATAAATGAAAACGTAACAAGGCTACTCAAAGAATAGAGCAGGTGAAAATACTGCACATTAACATCTATGATTGCTATGGGAACATCAGAAGTAATTTTTTTTTTTTGAGATGGAAATTCATTCCTGTCGCTCAGGATGGAGTGCAGTGGTGTGATCTCTGCTCACTGCAACCTATGCCTCCCAGGTTCAAGCAATTCTCCTGCCTCAGCCTCCCAAGTAGCTGGGAGTATAGGCACCTACCACCACGCCCAGCTAATTTTTGTATTTTTAGTAGAGACGGGGTTTCACCAGGTTGGCCAGGCTGGTCTCCACCTCCTGGCCTCCGGTGATCCACCTGCCTCAGCCTCCCAAAGTGCTAAGATAACAGGTGAGAACCACCATGTCCAGTTCCCATTAAAAGTAAATTTAAAACATTTCCAACATTATTTTTTAAAAAAGCATTCCATTTCACATATGAAAAAGAACAGCAAAAACAACAAGCCTAAGGTTGTAAGAGGGAGGAAATAATCATGATAGGAACTATAAATAAATGAGAAAAACATGTCATGAAATTTAAATAGATGTGCCAGGAGCTTGTTATTAGAAACAGCTAATTAAAAAGGCAAAAATGTCAAATGGAAGGCTCTAAAAGGTAGAAACGTGGGAGAAACCTAATATCTGAGCTGGAGCAGCAAATTTTATCTTTTCATTTTTATTTTTTGAGAGACAGGGTTTCTCTTGTCACCCAGGCTGGGGTGCGGTGGCACCATGAGCCTCACTGCAGCCTAGACTTCCCAGGCTCCAGAGATCCTCCCATCTCAGCCTCCCAGGTAGGTGGAAACTACAGTCACATGCCACCATGCTTGGCTAATTTTGTTGTTTTTGTTTGGTGAAAACAGGGTCCCACTATGTCGCTTAGGCTAGTCTTGAACTTCTGGGCTCAACTGATCCTCCCACTTCAGCCTCCCAAAGTGCTAGAATTACAGGCATGAGCCACGGTGCCCAGCAGCCAGTATTTTATTGAACTTAATCTGCAGTAACTGCCTACTTGTGTCAATGTGTTAGATTTAAAAAAAATCATCATCAGAACATTCCATGTATGACCGATTGTAAAACTGACCGTGGCCAGGGCCCTTTTGTTTAAAAATATACAATGAACACCAGTGAAACAGTTGACTAAAACTAGGGCCGACCTTAAAATAACTATGAAAATAATCCCCTGCCCTGTTTAACACCTAGACCCAAGAGCCAGCGATAAATTCTATCTTCATGTACAAAAATGATTCTGTTAGTGAAGCTGATTCATACGCAGATAACATGGAAAACTACCTCACAAAATCATTCCCAAGCCATCACCCAATCTCCATTCCCAACGGAGATGAGACAAAACGCTTGGCTCGTGACAAGGACTCACTAATGTGATAAAAGAATAATGTACCAATTAGGGTTGATCACAGGGAGCTAAGCATTGTTTGATACAAGAAAATCTAAAAATGGCATCCACCCCATCAATAGCTTAGGGAAACAAAAAAAAAAATCATATGATCATTTAAAAATACCCAAAAGGCATCTGAAAAAATTCACTACCACCCTCCTAAGACAAAACGGAACAAAAGGAACGCAAAGATATTTCTCCAACATGCTGACAAGGATTCTAAAATAAGAGCTGGTATTAATACGATAATCAGCAGAGAAGTACTAGAGACGCACTCGAAAATCAGGAATGCAACAAGCACGCCTGGCCGGGCCCCACCACGATGTTTCAGGAGAGACAGGAGAGACGGGGAAGTGAGAGGGGTGCGTGCCAGGATGCAGAGACAGCGGCACTCTTTCCTAACCGATGCTACGGCTTGACGAAAGCAAACAGCACATATGAGAAAAGCATTCAAAGCAACAACCAATGAGCTGCACTTCTACAAATGAAAATCAGTCAGGAAATACCCAAGTAAACAAATGCCAAGCACATCACACCTGTCATCCCAGCGCTTTGGGAGGCCGAAGCTGGCAGGTCACCTGAGGTCAGGAGTTGGAGACCAGCCTGGCCAACATGGTAAAACCCCATCTCTACTAAAAATACAAAATTAGCTGGGTGTGGTGGTGTGTGCCTGCCGTCCCAGCTAATTGGGACACTGAGGCAGGAAAATTGCTTGAACCCGGGAGGCAGAGGTTGCAGTGAGCTGAGATACCATGGCACTCCAGCCTGGGAGACAGAGTGAGACTCCATCTCAAAAAAAAAAAAAAAAAAAAGAAAGGAAAGAAGAAATGTCCATCACAGATGCAACAACCTACTATCATCATGACCGCCAAGAAACCCACAGAAGATCACCCCTGACATCCTACATGTATGATTTCCAAGAGCAAAATCTCTAAAACTAGTCTAACTTGTATCAGCAGATACTGATGGAGAATTCTGTTATGTTCCTGAAAAGTCTGACCAAAGATCAAGACGTAACCATGTATACTACGAATGCCTCATAGCATGACTAGGACGTGGCCCCCTTCTAAGGTGAGAAAACCCAGGCTCAAGGAGGTGATTGCCATTGTCCACGGTCACCGTGAGCATGTGGTGACCTCACACAGCCCGTGTGGAGCAGAGCTAGGGCTGCCACCCTTGTCTGGGTGACTTGGAAGCCTGGGATCTTTCCACGCCACCTTCTAATCTACTGCCTACACCTTGATACTTTGAGGTATCAAACAATATTCTACAAGATTAATAATTGGAGGGAGCAGCTTTTACATGGTATTAAAATATACACTAAAACAGCAAGGCTCAAAACAGCATGACACTAAGACAGAAATGAAAGTGTGGAATCGTGGAGGCTCAGAAAGAGGCCCAGCTATTTTTAGATACATGGCAAGACAGGAACTCTCCAATACATGGTGAGCAGTAACTGCGAAGCATAGGAAAATCACATGAAAGGGTTTTAACTTCTGGCTGAGCAGACACACGGGAGCCTATTGATACAACCAGCTGGTGCCTTTGCTCAGTGCTCGATCCTGCATGCTCAACAGCTCAGAGGCCTTTGCTCAATCTCTGAAGCACTTCATAAATCGTAAGGTGATGTCTCCAATTTCACAGATGGAGAAACAGGCTCAGAAAAGGAAATCCTTCAGCCAGGTCTAGCTGGCTTTGTCAGCTAAACTCCCCGGCCTCAACTGGCAGATGGGGCTGGGCTTTTCTGGGCTCCCACAGCTCAGGGTGCTGGTGGCTGCAGCCTGGGCACCTGTGTGTCCCTCCCCATGGGCCTGGATTGCTGAGCCCAAAGGTTGCCCTCTGCTTCTGGCTGGTAGACTCTCCAGTTGCCTCCTGGATGTGCCTGGACTCTCATGCTGCACTCCCATGCCTCTTGCCAGGTCCCTGACTCAGTTTCCCCTCTCATCCCAGCCAGGAGCTATGGCTGTCTGGCTGGGACTCTGTTGAGTTCACCTTTGTGAGCCTCTGTTTCCACAGCTGTGAGATGGGAGAGGTGATGGTAACCACCCATAGGGATGCTGTGAGGATTAAACCAGGTGCTGAGCATCAAAAACATGATAGAGGGCCGGGTTTAGATGCACACACCCGGCCCGACCCCGCTTCCAGCCTGCCCTAGAAGGGACGGCACCTGTCTGGGGACCCCTTAGGGCACAGGGTGACCACAGCCGCCCTTTCTAGGACCCCAGCCCTGGACCAGGCCTGACTCCAGGAAAATGCCTCCTGCTCCCAACCAGAGCCATTTCACCAAGCCATTCCACTCCCTTCACAGTTATCTCAGCTGCTTGGAGGAGCCCTGGGCAAAGCCCACCCCTGAGATAGGCCTCCCTGGTCCCCGTCTTCAAAAATCCAGGCACCCGAGGGCAAGGGTGGAACAGAAGCAGCACTGGAGCCCTGGGGCCCTGGACCCCTGGGGTCACCTACACCTGCTGACCTTCTTGGTGTAGCCCATGGCCTTCAGGACAGAGTGATTCAAGGTCTCCAGGGAGGCCAGGACGTCCTCATAGTCACCCATGTGGTCCACAAAATAATCTGGGGAAGGGAAGGCAAAGGTCAGGGGTCACAGGAAATCCTGCCCCTCCCACTTGGCACTCCTGACCCTCCCACCTGCACTACCCTCCCCCTCCCCCGCCTCAGGCCCTTCTCCGCCAGCCCCATCCCGGCACCCCCATCTTGGTCCTGGCATAGCCAGGCACCTACCACATAGCTCCTTGGTGTCCACGTGGCTGCAGAGACAGACAGAGACAGGAGGAGGGGTCAGCAGGCCTGGCCCCGAGCAGCCTGTGAAACACATGCCCTGCCCGCTCTTTGCAGCCTGTGTGCTGGCCCCGCGAGCCCCACCTTACAGATGAGGGCACAGAGGCCAGGTGACACCCCTGCCCCTGAAGGGCCGAGCTGGGCTCAAGTCTGTCTTACCCCCCACACCACCCACCCTTCTTCTGTTTTCTGAGTCCACTGACCGCATCATGAATAAATGACGCCAAGGGTAGGGCCAGGCCAGGGGCCAGGAAAGGGATAAAGGAAGGGAGGGTGAGGTCCCATTACTGTGATGGGCTGTCAAAGCTCTCACTGCCCCACTGCCCCACACCCTAAGCGACCCTGCCTGCTGGGTCCTGGAGTCCTTGGGGGCATGGCAGGGTCTTTCCTGTTCTGGTCCCAGCCCCTGGGTCCCACACTCCCATTCCAGCAGCCTAGAGAAGGGTCCTGTCCTTTCTTGGGGGAAGAGGGCTGAGCATGAACCTATCCCCCACAGCAGTGAAGGAGCATGCACCAGCCCCAAGATTGGGGCACAGTGCTGGGAACTAGGGGGCTTCTGCAGCTTAGGAGCAGATTTGATAAGTGGGGGCCCTCTGGAACTGGCTAGGGATGGTCTGGATAAGCAGGGAACCCAGCACATGGTTGGCCCTTCCCAGGCCGAGGTCCCTCATCATGCTCAGTGGCACCCGCACTCAGCAAGGCGCGTCTGCACAGAAAGCTTGCTGGCCCAGAGAATCTGTGCTCACAGGCTTTGCATGCTCTGTTGGGAAGGGCTTGTGGCCTCCAGCTCATATTCAGAGTTCTGGCAAGTCCTGCAGAAAGTGACCCTGTCACTTTGCTTCAGTGCTTCACAAATCTTTCTGATTGTTTGTACATTGTTTTGGGCACAAAATCTATTTAGCAACCCAAGGAGCTGACGTTCGGGGCTCACACCTTAGGGAATGTTGGGGAGATTCATCCTGAAAGTCTTTAGAGCTCTGACCTTCCATGATGGCGAGTCCTCCCAGCACCCGCACCCACCCACACGTACTCTCTAAAGAGCACCTCCTTCTCCCTCCACCTCCGCCCACTCCTCTATCCCGCTGACCCTTACACAAAGGACCCTGAAAGAAAAGGCCTAAATCAATGAGCACCCGCCTGGCCCTTCAAAGCACCCCAGGAAGCTGCAGTAACAGCTCAGAAATCTCCATCTGGCCCCAGGGAGAGCACTCCATTCTGCGGTCTGCAAACTAAAGTCATTTCTTTAAAGTGGCCTTTCCCAGAGGACAGTGCCTGCGCCACTCACCCCATCCTGGTCCCCAGCCAGTGACCCCCAGGACACTCTCAGCCCCAACCACTGGTCCAAGCCATCATTGCACTCTGTCCCCTGCACGCTGGTTTGATGGCAGCTACTTGTGCAGACCATCTCTAGCCAGTCTCAGAGAACCTCAACTTACCACATGTGCCCTAGGCAGCCCTCCAGACACTGGTCCTCACCACCCAAGGAAGTCTGAAAAAGGAGACTGGGTGGGGCTCTGACTCTCTTGAAGGTTGGGGTGAGAAGAGAGCTCAGACCTCATCCTGTCTCGGGAATCCCAAGAAAAGGGCAAGATTGGAGCTGAGGTTGGGAAGGATCAAGGGTAAGTCTGAGTCGAATGTGCATTTCACACTTGATTTAGACATGGGTTGGGGCCAGAGTTTTTGGCTGATTCTGAGACACAGGTTAGGGTTATGACTGGCTGGAGGAAAGGTTTGATAAGGTACGATGGTAGATGCCGTGTTGTTAGGATTTGTACTTGGTTCCAGTTTGTTTTAACACATGAGTTGGTGTTAGGGTGGGTTTCAACCTCACAGTTAACGTCGGGACTAGGAGGACACACGGGCATTGGGCTGCTGGCTGAAGCTGGCAGAAGGATGAAGTTACTGCCAACTTCCTGTTTTCATAACCCCGTGTCCACTGTGCAAAGGTGGGAGTCTCTCCCTAGTTAGCCATGTGCGTTCAGAAGAGACCCACTTGTGATAGCAACCAACGCGATATGAATCTGCACAAGCCCCAGTCACCCCAGGCAGTGAAAAGCTGACTTTTGGATTAGCACATCTGGGAATTTTCAGTTCTCCTGCCCTTTGCAGGGGACTACAAATGGAGACTAGAAGAAAAGATGCCTCCTCTGTGACCCACACGTGCCCCTGCTCTGCCAACCAGGACTGAGGCTCACTTGGTGTTGTCAGAATCAATCGTGTGAAAGAGATCTTCGAGCTCTTTCTCGTTGAGGACGCCATCTGCAAAGAAGAGCTGGAATTCCTCCAAGGACAGCTTCCCATCATCTGCAAGGAAGGAAGCGGGGAAAGCAGCTGGTGTCTACAGAAACAAGGCTGGTGAGGCTCGTGCACGCACAGCTCCCAAGTCCAGGCAATGCCCTGAACGAAAGAGCAACTCCAGCTCAGATAATCCTCGCCCTCCCAGGTAGTTCCACAACTAAAAGACAAATTCCATTTTAGAGCATCCCTATGCATCCAGCTAATTCCCACATTAACCAGTAAACTCCAGTACGCGGAGAATCACTGCCTCATCCAGCTCCTTCCCAGACCAATGCCTTTTCACAGCTAACCCTCAAACCAACAATGCAATACCTAGTTTCCTTGGGCTCACCATGCACTCTGCATTTTCCATGCATTCAATGAATACAGAGTATTTGCCCCCTGCCAGGCAATTTTCTCTCATTCAATTTACACAGCCACCTGAAGGCGTGTAAAACACTGTGTTTAAGACGGCACAGTGTGAGCAACCTGCCAATGTCACACCATCGGTAAGAAGTGGATCCAAACCCGGCAGCTGGATGAGCCACCGCTCCATAGCTTCCAAACACCAAGTGGTCTCCCCACATCCCTAGCTCAACACAGGCTGACAGCTGAGCTCAGCAGAGGGCGGTCCTGAGATCTTGCCATGGTTTCATGCCACTCTTTCTCTCTTTGGCCCCATAAAGCATCAAGTATGAGAGTCTGGTAGAAAATACGAACATGTGTGCATGGGGGCTAGGGCCAATACCCCAAGATGCCCCCCAACATCCCAGCTAGGATTTCAAGGTCACTGGGAAGAAAGAACTTCCGACTTTCAAAGGCAAAACCAAAAAAACCCCCAAACCAACCACACACGCACAAACCAAAGACCCACAACCAAACCACGAAAAGTCTACAAAATCAGCCTCGATACGTGAAATCAAAGCTACGGCTCTCTGTAGCCTGTGACAGAGGACATCTTCCAAGTGTCTTCTGCAAGACTGAAGATAAAAGCCAGGAGTCACAGTGCGGAGTCACACGTGTGGCATACCTTCCACGTGCTCACTCCTTAGTCTTCCTAACACTCACGGCACAAACAGGACTATCACTTCCATTTTAGAGAGGGGCAAACTGAGGCACAGAGCCATGAGGGTACCTGCCTAGGTCCTACAGCTGAAGCCTGAGCCCAAGCCATCTGGCTCCCAAGTCCAGACTCTCAACCCAACCCAGAGGTAGGGTTTTGTGGCAAGATCGCCACCTATGCAGCCGGGGGTGGGTAGGCACCCCCACTTTGGGTGAGGAGTGATCAGCATGGGCACCACAGGGGGAGTCTGTGTGAGCCCCAAGCCCAGCCTCCCTCTGGCTGCCTCATCTCTTGGGAGAGCAGGCAGAGGCCGGCAAAGTACCCCTCACAAAGCCTTTGGCTGACATTTACCCTGAATGCCTGACCACGGGCCTAATGAATCCGTTAATGAGGGAAAAACATGCCCTACACAGTTCCCCAGGCCAATTAGACCAAACGGGCCAGCACCTCTGCCTGAGACCCCAAGCGGGCCATTTGCAGGTGTCTGCTAATTAGCAGGAACTCAGTCTCTGTCTCCATGACCTTTCAAATGCCAAGAGCCCATCAGAGCCCATGTCCCTGGAGGGAAATGCTGAGTGGCACTCAGCCCTCGCCGCCCTCTGGGTTTATGTCCCGGGATGCCAGTCAGGCCCCTCATGTTAACCTTCCCATGGGGACTGGGCGCCTGGTGTCCATCTCAGCCAAACAAGCCTGTCACAGGAGCCACCATGACATGCCAGCCCTGAGCCTTTTCTCCCACAATTTCTAAGGCCTAAGGCCAGCCTGGGGGCTCCCCTGAGATTACACCCCCATCTCTCACTCCCCTGGGACATCCCATCAGTCCTTCCTGTGCACACCTGAGGCAGGGCTGGCATCAGCGTTAAGCAGTCCCATGTCTGCTTGTGTGTCTATCAGCCTCCACACCTGCACACCTGTTCCCATCCCTGCACACCTGTTCTCATCCCTGCACCTACACCCCTGCACTCCTGTTCTCATCCCTGCACCCACACCCCTGCACTCCT